AAAACATTTTTTTTTAAAAAAAAAAAAAAAAAAGTATTGTAAACAAAACAAAACAAAACCCCAAACCATAAACAAACCTAGGTGCCAGAAGCCAGCCGTTACCACCCTGGGACTTTGCTTTCCTAACTCGGGGAAGGGACAGTTCATGGTCTCCCGGCTTTTGAAAATGACCCCTTTTCTCCTTTCTCATCTGCACATCTAAAGTTGTCCTGGACTGTGCTGGACTGGACTTCCTGCTTGAAAGTAATTTTTTTTTTTTTCACTCAGCACCTGATCTTTTTTTTTATTTTAAATATATCTTTATTGATTTCAGAGAGAGGAAAGGAGAGGGAGAGAGAGAGATAGGAACATCAATGATGAGAGAGTCATTGATCAAGCCCACAACCTGGGCATGTGCCCTGACCAGGAATCGAACCCTGATCGCCTGGATCCCAGGTTGATGCTCAACCGCTGAGCCACGCCCTGCCGGGCAGCACCTGATCTTTGATTGCTGATAGTTTTAATTTTTTTTTTTAACAAAGGCAAACCAGGGCACAGAGGAAGGAATGATGAATTCTATCTGTGAGAGTCAGACAAGTTTCCCAGAAGAGGTTACATTTAGGCTGGGACTGGAATGATATCAAAGAGATTTTGCAGGCTGACAAAGGGATGGGGGAATGACGCTTGAGGCCCTGGGGAAGATGTGAGCAAAGGAAGAGCCACGTACAAATACATGACCCGTTCAGGCTGGCCCAGGTCATCGGCTGTGGCTGCAGAGAAGGCCATTTGCTTACCTCCTTTGTGGTATTTTGCCTTGTGTGTCACCTGTCTCATGTTTTTCCTAAAAATTGGACTATTCTAAATAATTGTTCAGAATCGTAATAAAAAGTGACATAACAAAACCATCATAACATTATTAAATGCTAACTAGTTACTGTTAAGCGCAAAGACTTGCTCTCCCCATTAAAAAGAGAGACTGGATGAAGGAAGGTTTAAAGACAAACAAGAGCCAAGTAGAGACTTCAATTTTAACATAATGAGAAGAGTTAAAAAAAAAAAAGAATTGGAAAAGGAAGAATTTTCTTTTGATTTAATTAAATGTGACTTAATATCAGCTTCATGATATGGTCTCACTCTTAAAAAACATTGACATGTAAGAATATTTGGTTTTATGGAGAGGTTTCCCTGGGAAGGAAGGAAACCAATGGTTTGTGAATAATTGTTTGTGCCAGACCCTGTGTGAGCCGCCTTTACCCTCTTGGGAATCTTATAATAACCAGTTGAGATGGGTGTTAGGGCCTTTTTCACTTGGGAAATTGAGGATCAGGTGTTGTATACTTGGACTTGACATCACACAGTTGCCGAGAGAGAGGGTCACTCAGAGGCTGCGTGAACTCAGGTGCACCGGCTCCAAAGCCCATTGTCCCTCTCATATCACTTTATAATTCCATCATCCAGTTCCTCCTTCTGATATATGGAATTTAAGAAAAACAGTGCCCATTGTCTTTTTGTGAGATGCAGTCATCAGAAAGGCAATATAGTATATTGGTTGAGAACATGGTCTCTGGAGCAAGACAGCTTAGATTCAAATTCTGGCTCTGCCTCCTATTAGCTGTGTGATCTTGGGCCAGTTATGCAACCTCTCTGTGCCTCAGATTCCTGAGGAATAATAATAATACTCATTTCATATGGTTGTTGTGGAGATTAAATAAATGTGTTGACATGTGTGAAGAATTTAAATAGTGCTGGCACACTGTTCGCTCTATGTATGTGCTAATACTATCCATACACTGTGTTGTGGCTACCATGTTATAGCTTGGGATAGAATGTTCCACACTTGGTTAAGAAGGCAGCTTGCCAAGGTATCTCCTCTTTAAAGCAGACTTCACATCCTTGTTCCTCAGGCTGTAGATCAGAGGGTTCAGCACGGGGATGGCCACAGTGTAGAAGACAGACACGAACTTGTTCTGTTCCGTGGAACTGAGAGAGCTCGGCTGAGCATACATGAAAATGATGGTGCCATACCAAAGGCAGATGATGATGAGGTGGGAGGTGCAGGTGGCGAGCGCTTTGCTCTGAGCCTCCGGGGAGTGCATCCTGCAGATAGTCACCAGGATGTAGGCATAGGAGACCAGGATGGTGGTAATGGTACAGGAGAAAATCAGGGCAGAAGATGAGGAGATGATAGTTTCAACCTCAGCAGTGTCTGCACAGGCAAGTTGAAGCACTGGGGGGATGTCACAGAAATAGTGGTTAATGACGTTGGGCCCACAGTAGGGCAGCTTAAAGATGTACCCTGTTAGCAAAACTGAATTGGCAACAGAAGCTGTATAGGTGGCTGCCACGAGCTGGACACACAGACGTTGGGACATGATGGTGTGGTAGAGGAGGGGGTGGCAGATGGCGACAAATCGGTCATAGGCCATGATGGCCAGGAGCAGACACTCAGCAATGCCATGGAGAGTCATGAGGGCCATCTGGACCACACAGCCGACAAAAGAGATGGACTGGCTGGAGGTGAGGAAGTTCTCCAGCAGCTTGGGGGTGTCCACCGTGGAGAAAGAGGAGTCCATGAAGGCGAGGACACTCAGGAAGAAGTACATGGGCGTGTGGAGCTGTGGCTCTGTGTGGATCAGGATAATCATGCCCAGGTTGCCCACGAGGGTGACTAAGTAGACGGTGAGGAAGAGAACGAAGAGGGTGCCCTTGAGCCCTTCCTGCTCCGTAAGCCCCAGCAGGAGGAACCAGGTGACCTGGGTGCAGTTCTCAACTGAGTTGCTCATGCCACTGCAGAGAGACCAAGTGAGACACGCCTGTCCTAGAGGCATCCCTGGGGTGAGTTCCCGAAACCCCTGCTCATTTTTTTATTATTATCCATATTATTACCTTTAATTGAATTTATTGGGGTGACATGGTTTGCAAAACCATACAGGTTTCAAGTGTACAACTCAATGAAATGTGATCTGCACACTGCATTGTGTGCCCATCACCCCAAGCAAAGCCGCTTTTCATCTCATTTTTCCCCCTTTGCCCACCTCCACCTACCCCCTACCCCTTTCCCTCTGGCTATCACCCTTTCAATGCCCCCAGAGTGGGCAGTGCTAGGGGAGCTGGGGAGGGGACACTGTCATGAATTAAACACCTATAATGAGTCATTTGAGTATTATGCCCATTTGTATCTGGTGAGATTGTCAATCTGCCCAAGGTAAGAGAGCTAGTACATTAGGAAAGTGGGATTAGAACCCAGTTCATTCTAATAATCATATACTTTTTATAGTTACAGTCATCTTCTGTCCACAAATTTCCTGTTCCATGAGGAACTGGCATCGTTAGTGGGTGTTGGCAGTCTGGCATGTTGGCCGAGAGAGGAAATAAAAAGCTAAATTTCGACCATATTTGGGAGCAAAGGCTCCAGCCATGTCAGTCCCCGAGCCCAAGGACACAGGAAGTCAGGACTAACATCAACACAATGGAAGGTGACTCAGTAGAACAGTCATTTCTCCCAGTGTTGTGGGTTGAACTGTTTCTCCCAAAAAGATATGTTGAAGTCATAACCCTGGCATCTTATTTAGAAATATGGTCTTTTAAAAAAATTTTAATATTTTATTTAATCCAATATATTCAAACATTAGGCAGCTGCAAAAAAGAAGGATCTCTTACCCTTTGGAAATATGGTCTTTACAGAAGTAATCAAGTTAAAATGAGATCATACTCAATTAGGGTGGGCCCTCAATCCAATATGACTGGTGTCCTTACAAGAAGAGAAAATGGAGATCCAGGGAGGAGAATGCTGTGTGAAGGTACAGACACAGGGGGCAGGGGGCTGTGTGACAAACAGAGGCAGAGACTGGAGTTCTGAGGCCACAAGCCAAGGAGTGCCTGGGGCTTCCAGAGCTGGAGAGGCTTCGGAGGGAGCACGGCCCTGCTAACACCTTGATTTTGTATCTTGAGCCTCCAGAACTATGAGGGAATAGATTTCTCTTGTTTCAAGCCAGTTTGTGGTGCCTTGTTGCCGTAGCCCTAAGGCACTGATATACCCAGTTGGAGATCCAGCATTGAGCTCTGATGTTTTGACCGGGGCCAACTAAGCAGTTGTTAGGAGACTGGGCTTTCCTGATCTCTCTCTATTGGTAGAGCTGATAATCCAGGGAGAGAAAAGGAACTAAAACAGATTAAAATAAAGTCTCTGTTATTAATTACTACTAACTAATAAAAATATTTGCCTGGGGGAACAGGAAACTATAGTAAACATGAAGACTCCAGCTCAGCAAAACTATAACCAAAGAACCAAAGTCTTGTGTTTTAACTAGAAACAACTGAACGACATGCCTGATTTGTAGCTTTGGGCTCCAGTGCAGGACACAGTTTTAAGTCAGAACTGGAGGTGAGGTCTCCAGCCAGAGAGCACAGGTCAGAGAGTCCACGCATCTACCTCCTTAAGCTCCCGGGGTTCTCATGTTTATGGAAGTTCTCTCAGCTGTGTCGTGCTCTGGGGTTGCTCACCCTCCAGGTTTTCAAATAACCAAGGTGGCTATTCAGAAGGAAAGCTCTTGTATGGGATACCGGCCAGGGTCTGCTCAGATTGGTCAGATACCTGTTACGATTGGTTGAGTGTAGGTTCTGATGGTTTGGACCACTCATGGGGATTTGAGAGTTTAGAGGGGGAGACAAACATTAATAAAGTAATCACGCAAATTATTGAAAAGCTGCAACTGGAACAACAGCTCCAAGTAGAGGTACTGAATGCTATGAATCAAGAACTTTGACTCAGGGAGGTCAAGGAGGATTTTCCCTAGGAAAAGTTTTCCATGGGAGAGAATGAAACAGTCTATACAAGGGTCCTGGGGTCTGAGAGCACCTAGTGAGGAGGAAGAGGACCTGAAAAGGCCAGTATGGGTAGAGGAAGGAGGGAGAGTGTGCTAGCTGAGGAAAGCAGGCAGGCCGTATTTTATAACATTTTTTGAGCACTTGCTATATCAAGCACTGTTACAAATACCTTAAATGTCATTTAATCCTTTCAACAATCTTATCAGATGTACAATTAAAATCTCCTTTTTGCATATGAGGAAACTGAGGCATAAAGTTGTTAAGCAGTTTGCCCAAAGACTCAACTGGTAAGTGGCAGAGCTGGGGTTTAAATTCAGGAGGTCAGGTTTAGAGATTACACAATTATTGTTCAATACCTTAGACCATGTTAAGGAATTTGTTTTTTTATTGGATGCCATTAAAGAATTTTTACCAGGGGATGACGTAGTCATATCTGCTTTTAAAAAAAATCCTCACCTGAAGATGTGTTTTTCATTGATATTAGAGAGAGAGAAACATCTCCAATACATGCTTTGACTGGGAATGGAACCAGCAACAGAGGTATGTGCCCTGACCGGGAATCGAACCCTCAACCTTTTGGTGTACGGGATGACGTTCCAACCAGCTGGGCCACCCAGCCAGGGCAGTCATATCTGCTTTTTGATAAGGTCACTCTGAGGGTATTGTGAAGGAATGACTGGAGAAAGGTCAATGGATGGGGGAGATTTGTTGGGAGGATATTGAAGTCATCTAGGAGGGATGCATAGCTTCAGCTAGAGTGGGGCTAGTGGGGACGGGGGTAAGTGGACTTGAGAGATGTTTGGCTGTAAATATGTCAGGATTTGGTGACTGGCTGATGGCGGCAGAGCGAGGAGGAGAGCAAGCAGTCAGGGTGAACTCCAAGGCTCAAAGTAAAGCTGGCAGTTGAAGCTAAGAGGGTGGGATGTGCCAGGGACAGTTTGAGCTGCAAAAGACATTAGGCCCCAGGGAAGAACCCTAAGGAAATCCATTTCAAACTCACTGCACGCTGCCTCAGCGCTCTGATTCCCCCCTTCGCCTTGGTGCTTGGGCTAATGATCATGTCTAGGAGCCTGAGCATGCATACGAGGGAGAGGGGTAAAGGAGCCTAAGCCCTGCTGGTTATAGGATTCCGCCCCTCAGCCCACTTACCCGTGGTTCAGGAGAGCCCCTCCATCCATGAGCCTTGCTTTACAAGACCTCTTGGAGGTGTTTCTTTCCCCTTTTCATTGATTGCCTCTGACCAGTTTTCTCAAGAGGACTTCCAGGCAGTTGTGAACAAAGCTCAGAGATTCCTAATTGTTGGAAAGGCTCCTGTCTTAAGATTCATCTGGCTTTTTTCATCCTTACCTCTAGAGCTCAGAAATGAGCTGGTGGGAATTTGTGACTAGTTCTCCCAAGAGCAGACCTGAACCTGCTGATTGTCTCTAAGGGATGCTGGAGAGATCTTGCTGAGGGTTGCTTGGAGGCCCCTGGGGAGCAGGGATTCTCCCCAAATGCCCAGATGACATTTACAGTGTCCATCCCTTGCAGGCCTCTTTTTCTTATATTACTGAGACTCAAAAAGCTCTCAAGGCCAAGATCTACTCAGGGACACAGGTCAACATAATCCCTGGGTCTCACAGGAAGTGACTGAAAGTGCTAATGATATCAATTTTGAAGGTCTAATGTAGCTTCCCTAATCGTTGTTTCCTTTGATCTTCAAAATATTGCTGGGAAAACTGCTTGACTGCTGGGCGGTATTTTTGTTGTTGCTATATATAGATAATAATAGGATTATATCATAATTGCTTTATTTAATAATATTGAAAATACATCTCTCCACCTCAAAGACAACATAACTCTCCCCCCTTACAAAATAGCTTTATTGTCTTTGTGAAAATAACACATGCTGGTTGTCAAAATTTTAAGCAGCACCGAAAAGAGCCAAGAAGGAAGTAAAATGTCACCTGAAATCCCACCCCCACAAAAATGGGACTTGGAGAGCATTCTTGTTATAAATCTCTCAATGCCCTCATAAACAGAACAAGCTGTTCTGTCATTTGCTTTCTAACTCAGTGAGATGCCATGGACATTTTTTCATATTAATAAGTAATAGCCTACACCATCGTATTTCCTGGCTGTGTATTTTTGTTGTGTGTATGTGCCATCATTTTACTCAACCAATCCCCCTTGGTTGACAAGAAGGTATTTCCAACTTTTCACTGTTATAAACAACTCTCTGACTGACACCCGCATGTATGGGGCCTGGAGGACCAATTCCAGTGAGAATGGGGCTCAGAGAGACTGCTTTTCCTAAGCCAGAAAGGAAGAAATTGACTCTCTTCTTGGGCAGCTTGGCACCCTGGGTTCCACAATCCCAGGAGAAATCACCGTGCAAAGCAAAGGGCCTTGTTAGGGAAATGACTTGATTGTGTAAAAGAAATTCAGTCTCTAGGCTACTGATCTGGGAGAGTCTCAGCAGATGAGAGAATGGATTGCTCATGGTTCCTGTAGGTAAAAGAGTTTATTCACTTGGGAGAGACCTGCTGAATGTCACCTATAGAAGTGAAACAGTGTGGAGTCCTGTGACCTTCCCCGCTGCATTCCAACCTGCACACGCTGTGTGACGCAAATGCCCCCTTCATTGTGTCAGCCCTCTGCTCACCGTCATGCAAGAGCCTCCTCCCTTCTGAAAGCAGAAGCCAGATCATCTACACACTCATGTAACTTAATTGCTGGGACTGAGAACAGAGACTTCCTACGGCAACGTGACTTAACAAATTGTTCCAGGAAGTTCAGGCCTAGGAAGATATGACTGTAAACCAATAAATAACTTCACTGTTTGCCTCATGAAATTCCTGCAAGCCAATCTGTCTGATTAAATAGTTGCTCCTCTGCGCAAACAGCTTTCCTATCAGGACAACAGATTACTCACCTGGACAAACAAAGTTCTCAACGAACAATAGTTTACTTATCA